CCAGCATCTGCAGTTCCTACTATCTCTGATATAATCCTACCCTGCATCCCATGGTTGTTCTTACCTTCTTTATCAGTCTCCCATGTGGGACCTCGTCAAAGGCTTTGCTGAAATTTCTCCCACGTTTAATTTTAGTCCGAATTTAAATCAGATTAAACAAATCACTGAGCTATACTCTGGAGGGAGTATTTTGTATTAGAATATTAAAAATGAAATATTAGTTATATATTTTTAAATAATTTAAGTATGAGTACATAGAAGCTGGAAAAAACATATTTGCAGCAATATTTCCAACTGTTTTTTATTGTTGTTATTGATGTGTTTTGAAGTAAGCTGGATCGTTCACATGTTTTTGGAAATGATAAAATAAAATACAGCTTTTCTCCTCTGCTTGCAGGCTGGCCCCGGGTAGGAACCAAAGGTCCGGCCGGAACCGATATGTGGGGGAAGTTGTAGCTGTGGGGAATGGGAGTGTGGCGGGGATACCGGAGAAGGGAACACAAACAGAAGTTGCTGGAAAAGCTCAGCAGGTCTGGCAGCATCTGTGCAGAGAGAGAGAGAGAAATCAGAGTTAACGGTTGGGGTCCGGTGACCCTTCGCCGCGGAGAAGCTGCTGGCTGTTCCTGGGTCACCGCTTCGGGCAATGGGGCTAGAAGTCAGTGAGGGCCACAAATACCACTAGGGATCAATACCCGGATCTATTAATAATAGGGAACCACCAATCTGTATTGGGATCTATCAGTCAGTGAAGGGACCTAATAATACTGGAGATTCCTTAATGAATAAAGAGATTTAGCGATCTATATTGAGATCCATCAATTAATATAGAAATCTATCAATGCTGGGTATCCAACAACCAGCGAAAAATCTACACTGGGATCTATCAGTCAATATACAGATCTATTAATTCTAAGGATCCACCAATAAATAAAAGGATCAATCAATCTATATTGGGATCCATCAGTCAATACAAGGATCTGTTAGGGCTGTTGTTCACAGGATGAGGGCATACTGGCCAGGCAGCATTTATTGTCCATCCCTAATTGCCCAGAGGGCAGTTAACTGTCAACCACATTGCTGTGGGTCTGGAGTCACATGTAGGCCAGACCAGGTAAGGATGGCAGTTTCCTTTCCTAAAGGGCATGAGTGAACCAGATGAGGTTTTTCCCAACAACTGACAGTGGATTCACAGTCGTCATTAGATTCTTAATTCCAGATATTTATTGAATTCAAATTCCACCATTTGCCATGGCAGGATTTGACCATGGGTCCCAGAATGTTATCTGGCTCTCTGGATTAACAGTCCAGCAATAATACCACAAGGCCATTGCCTCCCTATTCCAGAGGTGTGTAAGAACATCTCTGAACAGATTGTTTCTTTTAAAGCAAAGATTTAATAATACTCATGATTCATCAATCTATATTGGGATCTATCAATCAGTACTGAGATTCATTAATACTGTGGATCCATTAATCATTACAGTGATCTGTTAATAAAAAGTGGTCTATAAATACGAGGGATCCATCAGTCGCAATTGGGATTCATCAGTAGTAAGGATTGATGATTGCCATGGATTAAGTCAGACTGGGAACTAATCAAACTGATTTTTTTTTCTATAAGAACCATCCATTCTAATGGAGTTGTAGCCCCATTTAGGAAGAAAGAATGTGCATTTACATAGTAAATACATAAACAGCTAGAGGGAGACTTTTTCCAGTAACAGAGACATCAACTAATAGATGCCGATTTGGAGTGTTTTACAAAAGAAGTGACATTGCAAAATTAGGAGGAATTTTATCTTATGCTGAAAGTTGCTACAACCTAAAGTGTGTGGCCTGTGAAGGGAGTCGAAGTAAGTTTAGTGGTAGATTTGAAAATTAAATTGGATAGATGCTTGGAGGACTGGGGAGGAGAGGTGATTAGCTGTGTACGAGATGGGATTAACAGAATAGTTCTTTGAAGGCACTAGCTAACACAGGCACAATGGGGCTAACAGCCTTCTGTGCTGTATTATACTGTGACACACTAACATTTCTCCCTAAACTTTGCTACCAATTATTGAAGTGTGATTGCTGTTATTTTCTTGACAAACTTGGCACCAATCTGATAAATTACCAGTGAAAACTGCTTGTGGCATTGTGGGACAAAGAATAAGTATTGGCTGGGATACTAGGAATACCCTTGCTGTTCAAAAGAGTGCTATGAAATGTTTTAGGCCCCATCCAAGACGGCAGATGTGGCTTCTGTTTGGCTTCAAACTAAAAAAGGGCACCTCTGACAGCATAGCACTCGCTTAGTACTACACTGAAGTATCAACCTACACACTAATATAGGGATAGGGACTTGGAATAGGGATCTGGACAACAATCCACAATTAGCACATGATTAGATAATTTTTTTTGGTGAAGAAGATTCATGAAAAATTTCATGTACAAAACAGTCACTTATTTTCACTAAGCAATTCTGTATTTATTGGAGAAAATGGCTGTTGCAAATTATGTCAAGATTTAATACTGCTGATTTTATGGTTTAATTCAGCTATAACTAACAATGGTGTTGTGACATTTATATACTTTGTTCACTCAAAATGAAAAAGGGAAAATCGTATCATCGTAAAATTTATCATTCCAAATCTGGCCACTACAAAGTTATTACTGGTGGTAGCAGCAATTTGACATGCTTTAATTAGACTGTTATACAAGATGCAGAGTGGCCTGAGTATGAATTTTTAAAAATCTGTGTTCAAATCATTATATTAAATGGCTCAGTGATAACACTGACTAACGTTGCTCCGGTACTAACCTGATTCCACCTATCTGGTGAATTGCAGAAGTTGCAGGAATATACAACCTTCTTAATTTATCAAAAGATTTCTTCTGATCGTCTGCTGTAAGCGGCTGAAACAAACTGCTCCTGATTAATGTGGATTATTATCTGCAGAAATATCCATCACTTAATCATTTGAATTGTACTTATCCCCAAGTCTTCATTATTTCTGGCATTTCCTCGTGATGAATTTGTAGCTAAAAGTGGCTGCTGTTCATATTTCTCAATAATGATGCTCTGTGGATAACATACTTACCTTGAAACATTTTTGTTACAGCCATGACTGTGTTAATGAAGAGGATTCATGATGCCCTACTTAAAATGATCTTTTATTCCTTTGGGTCCAAGATTGTAAAGCCCAAAGCCTCCGATGTCCTAACACAACATTTACTTCAGAGAAAACTCCCCCATTGGACATCGTACTTTGTTAAATACAGCTCTGTGGAAAATGACCAGTTTGGACTCTCCAATTTTAACTGGAATGTCAAAGGGATCAATTACCACATCCTCAGGACAGGCTGCTTCCCATTCATCAAATACCACTGTTCCATGGCACCCAGACGTAACTTGGAACTGGAGAATACATTCTTCACTGCATTGAAAGTTATTAACCTAGGTGAGTTCATTTGAGGATTGAAAGTAAGTGTGGCAGTTAATGTTGTAAAATGGTTTATGAGATTAGAAGCAGTACAGAGTTCCTCAATTTTGAAAAAAAAAATGTCCCAGACACTTCACAGAGATGACGAAAATCAACCATGAGAAAGAGAAAGGGGTTAGATATGTAAAGTTTTGAGAAGCAGTTTGAAACCAGAAAGTTGGGTGTTGGTAGGAGCGTAGGCAAAGGTTTTAGGGAGAATCTCATTGATTATGGAGCATAATGCCTAAAAAAGTGGCCATCAATGATGTTGCACAGAGAATGGGGACAAATGCACTAAACTGCATTATGGTGTCAGAAGAGTGAAGCATCCCAGCATAGACAAGAAGCTGAATGATGTGGGGCATGGATCAATAGAGACATTTGAAGTGATGGACAGACATAATTGATATTGAAGGGTACACAAAGCCATTGGAACCAGGATGATGTTAGTGCGGTGTGTTGATTAGATGAAGACAAGGGCATTGACATTCTGAAATGAGGTTTAGTCTATGGATGGATGTGGGTTGTCTTCAAGGAGAGTATTGGAAATTCAAGGCTCAAGCCTGTGGATCAGTGTTTGTGGCATCTGTGGAACAAGAATCAACAGCTTAAGAAAAGAGTGAAAAATTTGAGCTTTATCATAATGAGAATGCAGTTTCTACACTGGTGATCCAGTTGTACAAAGTAACCCACTTGTTTCTTTCCCTCTCCTCTCTTCTTCCTAAAACTGGCCAGGTATTCCCTGTTTAGCTTATGGAATCGGTGCATGGTTTCTTATCAGAGTCACTGAGATTGTTCACACCAGTTCTGGCCCGGTGAACATCTACTTTCTCTACCAGGAAGATGAAGGAGCCATTCACTAAATCTCAAACTGCTAGCAACTTGTCTTGAATTCATATTCACAAGAGGAGGAGACTTGAGAGTCCATATGATAAATGAAAAATAAAGTATTGACCTGTAATATTTTAAAAAAGCCAGTAGATTTTTTTGTAAAAGTTTAAAAACTACTGTATTCTTTGTTAGACTCTTTCAGTTTTGTAAGACATATGCATACAGTTGCACAGCATGACTTTCAAATAAGATATCACTTCTATGATCCTAGATTCTTTAGCAAGGTAATTCTTCTTTAGGTGAACATTTTACTGAATATAGGGTTGATTTTTTTCTTCCACACTGATATCTGCAAACTTTTTTTCAATGCAAAATAAAAAATTCCTTCATCACAACAATCAATCAACCATCCTTGTGACTGAAGTTGCTATTTTTATTTAAAATAAAAACAGAAAATATTGGAAGTACTCAACAGGTCAGACAGTATTTGTGGAAAGAAAAACAGTGTGAAGGTTTCAAAGATTATGAGCTTCGTTTCTCTCTCAACAGGTGCTGCCATGGTGCGTCCAGCATTTTCTGTTTTTATTTCAGATTTTCATCATTAACAATATTTTGATTTTGCCATTGGTAACACTATGATAAGTGTGGACAATTTTCTTCTGGGACTGCACACAGGGAAGATTATTTTTGTATAATACTGTTCACTGTCTCTTGTTGAAAGCAACTCTGTTCTCTTATTTTCATTAAATCTTACTTTGATTTGAGATATTTCAAGTTTTCCCCTATTTTTCCCTAACCTTTTATATCTGCCAACAGTAAAGTCAGATCAAGAGTGGGATATGAGTTTCATTCCCCTGTTTGCTAGCTTCATTGATTTATTAAAAAGAAACTTGCAATAAACTGGCAGTATTTATTTCCAATTTCCTATTGCCCTTGAAGGTGTTGATGAACCTTCCCAAATCATTGCTGTCCATGCAATGAAAGTGCCTCCAAAATGCTGACAGGCAGGGAAATTTTAGGATTTTGAGCAGTAACAATGAAGCTTGAGCCACACTGATTTGGAAGTCAAGCAAAGGACAGACTCCGTCTCATTGACAGGCCAGAAAACACGAAGAGGAAGTAGCATGCCCAAAAGCAGCAGATGCCATGGAAGTTTGCAGCCCAACAATATTAGAAAAGTTTTCAAAAATAAGGAAGTTGAATTGTTTTTTCATTTGTTCATAGGATGTGAGCATTACTGGCTAGGCCAGCAGTTATTACCCATTCCTAATTGCCCTTGAGAAGATGGTGATGAGCTGGATTCTTGAACCACTGCAGTCCATGGGAAATATGTATACCCGCTGTTAGGAATGAATGAAATGGATCAATTTCAGTTGCAATGCTTCCATAATTGAATGTGAGGCAAGAATATTGTCCAGGGTCATACTGTGACATTCTTACAAATAGCAATGTGCAAGTGTAAAATTTAGGAGACGAGGAAGGAAAAAAAATAAAAGATAACGTTCCTTCAAGAAAACACCAATTTGTTTCTTTTTATGAATATGAGACTATTTTTAATCATACAGCAGTTTAACATATTTATTATTTGGAGGAAGAATCTCCCTGGATTTCTAGGATGTCTTCTTGTTTTATGGGGAGAATGTGCAAACCCCACACAAACATTTGCCTGAAGGTAGAATTGAGCATGGGTCCCTGGTGCTGTGAGGCAGCAATGCTAACCACTGAGCCACTGCGCTACCATCATTGATCAATAAAATTATACTACTGCATAAGCTGGACCAACCACCAGCTTCTTTCTACATTCATTCCGAACTATATAATTGTAGTTTGGGCCCTTAAGTCACTAGGGCAGGACATTTCACAATTAGAATTAGAATTAAGTTTATTGTCATGTGTACTAAAGTACAGGGATACAGGAGAAGAGTGAAAAGTGTGCAAAGTCACCATTCCTGGTGCCATCTTAGGTACAAAATCTTAGGTACAAAGTAGAAAAACAAATAAGTTAAAAAAGTAAGTCAGAAGAAAATTACTTGCAAATAGCAAGTAGTGTGTACTAACAATTAGAATATAAAATGTTGAGTATATTGTATTGATGCTCATTGTTGGATGCTGTTTGATTAGCAGAGAGATTCAAAAAATTATAGAAATTCTACTGGGTTTAAGGTACTTAATTTTCTACATTAATGCTTGTTTTAAAAATTATAGAGAAGTATTTGACACAAGCAATTATTTTTTAAATGAGAACAGCATCAGTTGCAATTTCTACTTTATGTTTTAAGCCAGTTAAATTATAGTTTGCATCAAGACTAAAGGCTAATCAATTTCAGGTTTGTGTTGACTTGAACTGTGTAGCGTAATTTGGTATTGAAAAGTCCAATTAAAATTCAACTGAAATTGTCCAGATTTAATCCCACATTGATCGCATTTAGCACCTGCTGCTGTATAAATATTATAAAAGAAACCATTCAACTTCATGCAAACTTTTGAAACTTCACCCTTACCTTTCACAATGTCTTTGGAGAGTCGATAGCATTTAATTCCAATTTTCTTAGAAATCAGAACAAAACAAACAGTATAACTTAGATTTGCAAGCTGCACATTTGATTCCAGCAACTCAAACTAGTAATATTAATTCCTACTAAGATGGCTACAATATTTTCAATAATTGCTTTTAGAACTTCTTTGTTCTATAGAAAATAGTTTTGGTGTGAAATTCTCGACAGAATATGAGTGTAAATATTGCTTTCGTGTTGCCATATGATTTCAGAAGCTTATAAAGTTTATATTACATTCCATTCATTTGTAAAAAAAAAATGAGCTGAGCTCAGTTGGAGGCGCAGTTGACCTAGTTTCACAAGTTTTGTAGTTTTATCACTTGACTACGTAATCTAAGTTGACTCAGTGAATACTGAATTATCATATTCTTTGGGTGAAATGTAAAACTTGAGACAACACCTGTGTGTTACTAATATCGTGGCAGTCTTCAAAGAAAAAGTTTCCAGTTATAAGGATAGGCTGGAGGCTTGCCCCTGGAGTGCAGGAGGTTGAGGGGTGACCTTATAAAGGTTTATAAAATCATGAGGGGCCCAAGTAAGGTGAATAGCAAAAATCTTTTCCCTAGGGTAGGGGAATTCAAAACTGGAGGGCATAATTTTAAGGTGAGGGGGTAAGATTTAAAAGGGACCTGAATGGCAACTTTTTCATGCAGAGGATGGTTCATATGTTGAATGAACTGCCAGAGGAAGTGGTAGATGCAAATACAGTTACAACATTTATAAGACATTTGGACAGAAAATTGAATAGGAAAGCTTTAGAAGGACGTGGGCCAAACACAGGCAAATTGGACGAATTTAGTTTGGGAAACCTGGTCGGTATGGATGAGTTAGACCAAGGGGTCTGTTTCCATGCTGTATGAGTCTATGACTCTTTAAAAACAAGGATCTACATGGTGTCCTGTGCACTACGCCTCCCTCAGCCAACATCACCAAACATATGACTAGTCATTCATCTTACTTTTGGGATCCAACTGTGTACAAGCTGGTGGCTATGTAAATCAACACAGCATCCAGCATTCTCAGTGTATTGATCTACAGTGGTGAAAAAGATGAAACAGTTCACTTTTGCTGCTTCAAATGTATCCTTAACTTCTCTTGGAAAGAAAAGGCCACCAAAACAGAGGTTCTGGAATGCAGTAATTCCATCGGCACGCACTCATTGCCAAGCCAATGACATCTATGTTGGCTCAGTCACATTTTTCAGATGGATGGCAGCTGTCTATCTTCGTATAGCAAAGTGGCCACTGGGTTATGTCCTTATGGGTGGCTATTCCTTCCCTATAAGGGCACCTACAAGTTAAATATAAAGATGGTGGATGATGCTACCCTCAAATAGGAGACAGACGCTGATGATCTCTGAAAGCTATCTATTTGGAAGGGCATTGGAAGAGGTGAGAAGCAATGAAAAGCTCAGCTGTCTAAGAGGACCCAGAGAAAATGAGACAAGCAATGTGTGCACTTTCTTACTCCACTTTCATCCGCTGCAGAAAATGTGTTAAGTTGACCTCCTAAGCGATGCTTAACAGAGTTGATGACCATGATGCAAACCAGCAGCTTACAAGATGGAATCTTGCCATCAACGATGACTGCACTTCAAAGTATCTTGTTGAAGGGTATGTTTAAGAGTTTCAGTAGAATCACATTTAAGAATTAGGAGCCAAAATAGAATGATACAACAATAATTTATACGATTTATAGGTGCTATATAAATATAAAATGTCCTAATGTGCTTCACAAGTGTATAATTAATCAAAATACGACATTGAACCACATGGGTTATTAATTCAAATGAGCAAAAGCCTGGGCAAAGAGGCTTTAAGGAGCTACTGAAAGAGGAAAAGCAAGGCAGGGAGATGGAGGATATAGGCAGAGAATTATACAGCCAATAGATCAGGTAACTGAACACATAGTTAGTAGTGGTGCAGTTAGAATAGAATATCCCTTATTGTCACATTTACTCCAGTACAGAAGGATAGTGAAGTTTTTACAATGGCTGCCTTCATTGGCACCATCTTAGGTACAAATCTTAGAGTAAAAAAATGTATTGTTACAAAAGAATATAGATTAGCATGAAACAGTGAAAATGTCCAGATTGATAATAAGTAACCATAAGTTCCAGTCCATGCCTGTAGGCCCCAGACCATGAGCTGCTTCCACAAGCCAGCCTCCATCCTTAATAGTGGTGGAGTAGTTGAAATCAGGATTGCTGAAGTTGCCAGACTGAAATGAGTACAGGTATCTCAGTGGGTTGCAGATATACAGAGGATAGGCAGAGATTAGGCCAATTGAATAAAAAGGATGTGAATTTTTAAATCAAGATGTTGTATCACCAGGATCCAATATAGGTCAGCAGCATAGGACTGATAGGGGATCGGGACTTGATGCAAGTTAAGACAAGCAATAGCAATTTGGTGATTTTAAGTTTATAGAGAATAAAACATGGGAGATCAGATAGTCGTGCCTCACAACAGTCAAATCTAGAGGTTACAAAGTCATGAGTGAGGGTTTTTTCAGCAGACAAGTGAAGGCAGTGGCAAAGTCTGGTAATGTTCAAAGGTAGAAATTGGCCATTTTAGAGATTATGTGAATTTGTGCTGGTAAGTTTGTCTGGGGGTTAAATTTGATACTGGGGCTGCAAGGACACTGGCTCAACCTCAGACTGTTGCCCGGAGAGAGATCGAGATGATAGTTAGGGAACAAAGTTTGGAGCAGAGGTTGAAAACAATGGCTTTAGTCTTCTGAACACTGGAGGAAATTCTTATTCATGCAGTACTATATGTCAGATAAGATAATTTAGTAATTGAGGAGTCAAGAGAGCTGGTGGTGACCCGACGTCATCAGCATACATGTGGAAACTAATATTTGCTTTAGGATTATGTTGCTAAGGGACATCATGAAGATGAGAAATAGAAGGTGGTAAAGGATAGATCCTTGGATGACAACAGGGTTAACAGTGTTGGAGCAGAAAGAGAAGCTATTGAAAGTAATATTCTACATACAACTAAATAGATAAGAATGAAACCAGATAAGAACAGTCTTATCCAGAAGGACAACAATATGGAGGAAATATTTTGTAAATATAATGTTTTTAAAATGACAAGTCTTATGTAAAACATGTGTTAATTAAAAGCCTTAGTGGACAGTTGAAATCACTGCATTCATTTTAGAGTACAATGATGTTCATTCATTGGCATTTAGCCCTGTCAGTGGCTCTTGCTGGGGTTCCCATCTCGAGCACAAGCTGATAAAATGTTTTTTAATTACCAGTAAATGTAACATTTCATTGAGGCTGAATCTCTCATCAGCTTGCTTGTTTGATTTCTGATAATGTACATTGCTGACTTTGCTTACCTGTTATTCAATAAAGACAGACAGTGGGGCCTCTTGACTGCATGGTGATGGGCAGTCTCCTTTGAAAATAGGCCTGACAAACTGCTGTATTGATTTAAGCAATTCTCTGCTGCTTGCAGCACTAAAAACAAAGCTTGATTTCTTGCCTAACACTTCCACTGTGTAACAATTAAGCAACTGAAATAATTTCTTGTATTACATGAAAGTCAATAGACCTTCCACACCCCTGGTGTTGATCACTGTGAAGGATGGACTGGAGGCTGACGGAGGTCAGAGGTTGGAATATAACCATATCATTCAGCGGATTAGTATTGAGATCCCCCTTCATTAAGGTTCACTTCTCATCTATTGTTGGATGTTTAGAAGAAAGAGTGGCAATGATAAAGAGGATTGCTTTAATGTGAACAGTGCAGTCTCAGGTGGCCCTGGAAGTTAATTGCAGACAAGATTGTTTGCTTCCAATGCAAAATTGGAGGAAGGCAGAACGACATCACTAACTGGGGCTTGACAGTTAGGAAATAGAGATCTATACTTTGTCTAATGATACAGTTGATTTCCTAAAACTGTCATATACTGCAACAGCAAATTATGTATTTTATGCCTCCTTCTATA